ACCCTGGGCTTCACCACAGGCTGCAGGGGAATCTCTGCTCTGGTGCCTGGAACACCCCCTCCCCCTCTTCTTTCACTGACCTTTGTGTCTGCAGAGTTGTTCCTCTCACATATTCTTTCTTCTCTACAGCTGCTGCTGGTGTTCTTTTCTGCAGAAACTTTTTCCTTTCTTACGTACATTATCCTAGAGCTGCTACCACCATCGCTGATGGGCTCAGTCCTGGCCAGTGGTCGATCCATCCTGAAGCTGTCTGGCACCGGCTCCATCAGACATGGAGGAAGCTTCTGGCTTCTCACAGAAGTCCCCCTGCTACCAAAGCCTTGCCACACAAACCCAACACAAGCACACGTGCATGGTGCCTCCTCCAACCTCCCTGCTGAGGAGCATTGTCATCTGCAGGATCTGTCATCCCTTGCACTGGGGCTGTGCTTTGAGCCCTTCCTTCCACCAGCAGCACCTGTCTGGGGAGCAGTGGTCATAAGACCCAGCTGGAGATGTGTTGGGAGCAGTGGCCATAACCTTCAGCTTCCAAAGTCCCCCGGAGATTCTGTGCAGGCTGGGCAGCCGGGCTGTCCTGGGCCACATCTGTCATGTCTGGCCAGCTTTGCTCATGCTGGGAGGCCAGGCTGCCTTTGTCCTGGCTGACACACTGGGCTTGGGAGAGTGAGGCATTGTGTGGGAGCAGACCCACGTGTCAGCCCTGTTAGGGTACCTATGGGGCTCCTGTAGCACGACAATGCCCTTGGTGGGTCTATTATAGAGTGGTGCAGGCAGCTGGGGGCACTGGGATCATAATAAATCTTGCCTGGTTAGCAGCAGCAGCAGGCAGGGCTGGGATGTGCTCTTTCCTGTGTCCTTCTAGGGACAAGGCCTCCCTCACAAACAGCAAGGGCATCACGCTGTGAATGTGGCCAGCATTGCCTTGCAAACTGCCAGCACTGCCCTGTGAGCATAGCCAGCATCACCCGCTAGACACTGCCAGTGTTGCCCTGTGAACACCACCAGCATCACCCTGCCAACACGGCCAGCACTGCTCTGGGAAGGTGGCTCCCCTGGCTGCAGGACCTGGGCAGCTCTACTGCCTGGCCACTTCACCACTGGGACCAAGTGAAAGGAACAGCATCCACTGACTGAGATGATGCAGGAGGTGCCAGGACTCCCAAGCAGGAGGATTTGGCTCCAGCCTAACACAGCAGGGACCATCCAGTTAGGGGGAGCCCAGTCTGTCTCACTGCCTTGAGCAATTGTGGAACAGCAGGAGCAGGACAGTCTGGAAGGCACTGCACCCCTGCTTTGTGGCATGGCTGAGCAAAGGGGCTGAGCCTGGCTTCCCAAAACCAGCTCTAGCCTGCAAGGAGAACATTTGCACCTAGCAGCCCGGATGCAGATGAGGGGATGCTGTTCCCAGCACGGCTGGACACACGTGGGAGCTCTGCAGAGCTGGTTTGAATAAACCACACGCCAGGAGGTGTCTGTGAAGCGCCTTGCACATGGAAATGCTATTGTTGGATCGGGGGCTCCAGGGTCCCCAGATGTAGCAATTGTTCCACATCCATGCTGTGCATGCACACACACTCTTTCCCACTCACTCTGCCTGCAGCCACTCATTAACCCTCCTCAATGAAGATGCATTGGAGGGATAATTTACTGTTTAATAGACTAACTTTCCATTTGCTGTTGCCAAGCACATCCAACATATTTCTCCACGGTGCCATAAACTGCAGCTCCTCTGCCATAAAACCCTGCCTCCCAGAAAGAGCAGGTGGGTTTTCAGGACTCAGCTGATGACCTTGGCCACGGGGTAAGCAGAGACAGTGTTCTGTTGTTAGAGGAACAGGGCTTGTTCCCACCAAGTCCTTTCACCCCCATTGCACTGACATCCCTGGACTGGGAAAACATCTGAGAAATAAGGAGTGGCTCAGTGCCTCAGCCTGATGGATGAGGGAGGCAGAGGCTCTGTCCTGGTTTTGTTGATGAAGATGCCCTGGTTGCAGACGACCATGCCTCTGCTCCATATTTATGGCTAGCAGGCAGCCAGTGCCATGCTGGGCTGTGATCAATAAGCTCCATGCCCGCTTGGGCTCATTGTGCTTCCACAGCTGCAGATGGCCTTTCTGTGCCTTGTCAGTCCCAAAGTTGTCAGCATGTGTCTCTGCATCCTTGCTCCTCCTTCCCCAGCCCTTACAGAGTCAGAAGCTACTGGAGGATGAAAGTCAGATGCTGCTCAGCCTGGGACAAGGGAACTCCTTCCATCTCCCATCACCCAAATTTCCACATGGTGGAAGACAAACTTTCAGGCTGCAGGTTCTGCAGGAAGGGGCACCAGCCCCAGGGCATGAGCCTGAATGACTGGCTACCAGGGTCTGGCTCTGAAGAATGGCAAGAGAATGCCAGTAGCCAAAAATAACTTGAAAAAGAGAGGGAAAGGGTTCAGCTTGCCTTGTGACAGCTCTGCTTGGCCCTGGATGCAGGCAGGGACTCCTAAGAGCTGGAGGACCATGCTAGGGGCTAGCTGCAGAGCTGATTTTCGATTTTGAGGACATCCTTCCCCAGCCTTCTCAGTGCTCTTTATGCTTTTGTTCACTTTATTTATAGTCCCAGCTTCTCTCCTCCTCCATCTGCCAGATGTAGCCAGGAAGAAGCAGGCGTCTCCAAGCCTGCCCCCAGCACATCTGGCGCGGGCCTCAGGGCTGCGGGCGGGCAGGGGGTCCCGTCCCGCAGGGTGTGCTGCCAGCCCCCTCTTGTGCTGCCGCTGCAGAACGGCCTGGGAGAGCCACAGCGGAGCCAGAGGCTTTTGTGCCAGAGGTTGCCGAGATCCTGCTCCACAGCGAAGCAAGGCTCAAGCTTTGTAAGCAAAAATGTTGGAAGAAACAAACTCTAAAAGAACCACAGGTCAAGACAGACACCCCCACGTCATGGACCTGTGCACACATCAAGTTCCATGTGGCCATGATGGCCAAGGCAGGTTGGCACCTCTGTTCATCACAATTCCCAGTGGCACAGGAGCTTCAGCCAAAACCAGAGCATCAAGTGGAACACAATTCTCTCCAGTGGAAAAGGAGACAATCTCAATATCATGTAAGGCACTGCATGGGAGGGCTGGGCGGTGGATTTGTAAATCTTCTCCAGCAGCAAGGCAGGGGGGCTGGTTTAGCTTGGGAGAGGGAAGGGGGCCACAGAAATGGCCCCTCCAGCTGTGACTCAGCAGAGAAAGGAAAGCTTGTCTCCCTCTCACCCAGACTAAAATTGAAGGCTGGTGCTGGGAAGTATCTGAACCTCACCCTGTGATGCTTGGCTGCTGGGAACAGCAGCTGCTTGCACAGGAGCCCCAAAACAACCCCATCATATTCCTCATGCGTGGGCACTCCCCAGGAACAAAGCTGGGCTGCAACAGGATGGGGCCAGAGAGGTGGTGCCAGCTGAGATCCCACTCCAGGCCACAGCACAAGTGTAAGGTCAGTGTAGGACCCAGCACGGAGATCTTGGCATCTGCATGCCCGAGCAGTTTATGAGCTTCAACACAAAACCCTCACTGGGGAGATGAGCAAACAGAACTAAACATGGTAATTTATTCAGTCCATGAAAAAATATTAGTTAATCCAAGCCAATGAGATTGTAAAACCTGATAACTGGTCTGGCTGATGCCAATATCTATTGCTAGCAACAGTCATGTTTTTTGTCTACACTGTTGCCCTAGACAGTGAGATGCAGCAGCAACATGACAGCTCCCAGCCACACATGATAATTTAAGAGAGAGAAAATATCTTATTTCAACTCCAAACCAGGGCAGAGCAGTTAAAAAAAAAAATCAAGACAACTTGCAAAAATTGATTTAGATAGCAGTGACACCCTGAAGAACTTATTTGCAAGTCTGTGCTGTGCAATTTGAGATAAAAACTGTTTAATGAAATGAAGGTGAGCACTGCTTGTTTGCTTTGCAACATCACTGCTGTGCAAACATACCAACAGGCCAAAGCAAACATACTGAGAGATGAGTGATCCCCCTTTAAATATATACCTTCACCCAGGGTCCCAGTGGCTACTGCCCTTTCACTTAAAGTCAAGCATAAGTGCTTGGATTGTGGCTTCAGAAGCCAAAACCTACCTATTTTTTAAAATTATATAAGGCAGATAAAGCTGTCACTTTGAATCACAGCTCATCAGGGGGGCGATATTTGGATTTTCACTATTGAAGATAGCTGTTGTGAGTTTTTGCATTCCTTTGTTCAACGCGTTCAAGAAGAGAAATGTCTCTCTCGACTCCCATGCCCACTTTGAAGTGCACAGAGGCCCACCACCCCCGCTCCCTGAGCTCCAGGGAGATGGGGCTCACCATTCCCATGACACCCAAGTGCAGGCACGGAGGACAAGGGGGCTCTCTTGGGGCTCAGCCCGCAGGAAGGCAGCGCCGCTTTCAAACACGCTCCTTCTCCTGCTTGTTTTTCAATTGCATGGTGAGGATGTTAATGAGTGTCTGAGCTATGGCAGGCAAGCCCAGGGCATTTCAAACGTGGAAGAACTTCACAGAGAAATAATCTGCATAAAATCTGAGACGCCATTATTAAGAAGGAGGAAAAGAAAATGCAAGCAGAAAGCATCCTCTCTCAGCAGCCAAGAGTGCCAAGAGAAGAATGGCCCTACAGAGAAAAATTTATTCATTTGATCCATTATTTATATAAAGTGTTCTTTGTAAACCTGATTTCCCATCACCCTGGATGACAGCAGGGGGAAGACAGGAAAAGAAGAGGTCCAACTTTATACTTCCAAGGGAAAGACAGCCTGTCTGGGCACCCTGTATCATGCAAGTACCCCAGAGGCTTTTGAGCCCTCGTGCCATGGGAGGCCAGTGTCATCCCTGCAGGTGGGCAGCACCCCACCAAGCACCTCCACACTTAAGAGTAGTAGCTCTGGGCTTCTAAGTAGACATTTCCTTCTTTTTGAAGGTGGATGGGAGCCCTTGTTGTCCCAATGAAATTGCTTAAGCCAACAAGCAAACCCACTAAAAATAAAAGCATTTAATGTGGTGTTTTCACATAACACACAGAAAGGCAACAGTCTGCAACAGTACTGACACAGCATATATAAATAAGAACAAAGATTAAAAATACTTGGAAATGATAGACTCTGGGAACAGTTAGCGGCTGCTCTGGGAAGAAGCATCCTTATGAGTCATTGCACAGGGCAGACAAACGAGACACATCCAAGCATAACTAAAACTCTCCCGTGCCGGGGAGACAGCGTGAATGCATCGGGACAGCAACAGCCAAGGTCCTAGGGGAGCAATCAGCCACACCATCCCCAGCACCACAGACTAGAGCCCCTCCAGGACTGGAGCAGCACCCACCCCCTTGGCAGGTAAGGGATGTGACACATGCAGAAGGCCTGGCCAGTGCCCCATAGGTAACTTCTTAGAGTTGAACAAATCTCAGCTGTGCCAGAAGCCAGAGCCCCTGAGCTAGAGCCATCAGTAAGGGGGGGACAGTGGAGAGTTACCTTTGTCTCATCTATATGGGAGCAGTGTATTTAATGTCAGGTACAAGACTGCCTTGGCAAGCAGTCACCCATACAGAGAGGTATGAGATATGCCAGGTAGGGACAATGGGGACAGGAGGAGTGAACAAATGGTTCATGCAGCAATTGCCCCAATGCAATTAAGAGCAGAGATAGCAGGAGCAGACCCAGCTCTCCCTGTGCTGCCACTTGACCTTTGTCTGTGCCTCATCTCTGCTCAGAGGCGAAGCTGAGATTCCAAAGTTTCTGCTAACAGCAGGCTGCAGGGACAGGGCAGAAATGCAGTCAGAAAAACAGGGGCCCCTTTGGAGAAAAGCACATAGACAGCTTTAGCCTCTGGAGGGAATGATTACAGACACATCCAAAAAGCACATACAACTACCACAGCAAACAGCCTCTGCCCTTCCTCACAGCATCACCATCAGTCTGGTCCCTGAAGAACCACAGCTCGCTCTTTGCTGTGACAGAGGCTCCTGACACCAGCAACTCCCAACTCACACATCTACAGTCCCCCTACCCTTATATTTTCAAGGCTCCAACTGGGGTCAGACTGGGGACAAGCATCCCTGATAGTACCAAAAACCACCCTTTGTACCGAGCAGCATGAGGATTTGTGTCTTAAAAAAAAAAAAAAAAATCACAATAAAAAAAAGTGACAAATTCCAGCTAAGTTGCACAGGCTCCAGTGCCCTGTTCTGACAGCTCCAGCCAATCAGACTGAACTCCCTGTTCATATCCCAATATTCACACCTCCTGCCACCAGTTGTTTCAGAAAGCTGTCGAGAGCAGAGCTCTAACTCCTGTTGGCTGCTGGTTCTTAAAGATTAGAAGACAAATATAATTGGATTCCAGAGATTATTTACTTTGCTGAGAAGGGCTGAGAAGTGTTTAGATGGTCCCCCAGCTGATTAAATCTTTATTTCACAGTAGCAACCCTGTGTGTATCCTACCTCAGAGTGCTTGCAGACAGGTTCTTGGCAAGACTGGCTTACTGGAGCACTTTGGCTTAACGAGACTGCTGACATTGGCCAGCTGTGATTGGGGTTTATCCTGTATCTAGAAGGTTTCATCTCATTTCTGCAGCTCAGACCAAAGAGCTGAACCCAGCTTCAGCCCTTTCCCCCAGTTTAATGACTAATCAGCCAGTTGCCCTACCTGCCATCTACATACCTTGAGCCAAAGCCTTTGGCACTATTTGCAGCAGATCACAAATGGATGGAGCCCTCTCTCACCTCGTTTTCCTCTTTCACACACAGCCACAAGACTCTGCCTGCCCCAGGCACCTTAACTTCCAAAGATTAGACTGTTCTGCCCCAGACAGCCTTTGCCAGCCTCCTCCTCTCCTCAGCTTAAACCTCCCTGGGTGAACACAAAGCCAAGACACTCCTTGTTCAGAACTGTACCACTGAAACATGAAGGCACTGAGCAAGGGCTGGCTCCAGCTCAAGGTAAAATAGAGGGATGAGTTTATTGGGGAAGCTGCTTTCCCCTGGTCCTACTTGAAAAGATGGCACCCAGAGCCTCTCCTTCCAGGCCCATCCCATGCCCTGTACCGTTTGTGCACTTCAGGCCTTTGGAAACAGCAGAGCAAAATGGAGCCAAGAAGAAGCAGAGAAGGGCATGCCTCCAGAGCAGGACTGGAGGCAAGCTTGGATGTCAGGATGTGGGTAAGGGTTACAACCCATCATTCTCACTGCTAACAGGGGAAGGAAGCAAAAACAAGCCAATGTGTTAAAAACTTGGAGCAGAAAAGCAAAAAAATACAGCCTAGCAACATTACAAGAAAGCTGGGAGTGCACACAGGGCCCTGCAATGAACAGGGCTCTCCTTGCAAGCAAGCACTCCAGCTCTTCCCAGAGCCAGCAGGTCAGACATGCTGCACAAGTTTTTGGTTAGATAGTGGTTTGCCCCATAGTAGAATGAAATACAATTTATATACAGAAACAAATCCCTGCAATCCTTGCAAAGGTCCAGTTTCAGGAGCGCTGCTGTGTTGGTGAGGGTTGCTGTGAGCCTGCAGCACTCCCCTCTCAGTGCAGCACATTTTCTCTTCACAGCTTGCGGGGCTGGGCAATCCCCACTCATGGGCTGAGGCGATCAGAGGGATGATGAATCCTTGGAAAGCAGGCGGGCTCGCATGCGTCTGCAGGATCCCTGTAGCAGAGAATGGGTGCAGTTGAATGCTTGAGACACAGAATACCGTGCAAAAAAAGGCTGACATTCTCCCCCTGCAAGGCCTGTTCCCTGGTGTCAGGCTCCCACGCCTTTTGCTAAAGCTCGAGATGAGGCAGTGAGCAGAGAGGAACAAACACAGCAGTCGGTCTTGGGCTGCACCAACCTCCTGTCCCACTGCCACCCTGACAGGCTGTTAGCACTACCCTGTGCTGCCAGCTTCCCTCTGCTGCCTGCAACATCCAGCCTGCCAACTCACAGCCAGAAGGGCTGTAAGACCCTTCAGGGCCTGGCTTCCAGCACGTCACCTGCCTGCAGCTCGGCACGGAGCAGGCTGCTACGAGCTGGGCCACCACAGCTGTCCCAGAGCCTTGAGTGTGTGCTGTCACCTCAGCAGGTTTCAGCACACCAGGTTCCCTGCAGGAAGAGGAACGAGGGTGTAAGGAGAACTGTCTCACCTCTTTCTGGCCTTCCAAAGACTTGAGCTTCGCCTGGGACATATGAGCTGGAGAGCCACATTTCTGTAACTGGACAAGAGAGGGCAACAGGAGTAGAAAGCTGGTGAATGAACTGGCACCCACAGCTTTCCCTGGGAGCAGCCTGTACCACCAAAGACCATCTATCACCCAAATCCACTCTTGGTTTGTCTGGGAAAACCCTACTGCATACAGGCAGCAGGCTTTGTACAATCTGTGGAGGAGGATGAGAGAGAGGGAAGGGGGCACAAGAGAATGCCCCAGAGCAGGACACAGCCAGAGAGACAAGACTGGAGTAGAGGCCCAGCGCTGTCATCCCTGCTCTGATGCTGCCCTTGCCATCTGCTCTGTTCTCCTCAGAGCAGCTCCTCAGGACCTTATTTTATCATAGAGAAGAAACTTGGAACTCCTCTTGTGAGCAGAGAATCTCCCCAGGGATTGCTGAGGTTGCACTCAAACTCCCCACACACTTCCCCACCAGCAGCTTCAGTGGTGCTGGGAGCAGCTCTTACCAGCTGGACGTTCTCTTTGCTGACCCGCACAGGCTCTGGTGTGGAATCCCTGCTCTTCCTCTCCAGGATAACTGGAGTTCCCAAAACTTTCCGCTGTTGTAAGAAGAAAGGGCTGTTGGCTAGTGCTTAGAGTGCAAAGTAAAAAAGAAAGGGAAGGAGCAGGATGCCTTGCTGGTAAGCAGTTGAATGCTGGGAAAGAAAAAAAGGAAGCCAAGCTGGGACAAAGATTGCAAAGCAGAACCACCTGAAACACCACACCACTAGGCTGAGCCCGCCTGGTTGTAAAGAGTTTGGGAGCTGACCTGAGGCCTGGCCAGGGGCCAGCCTGTCAGAAGCAGGCACATGCTGGTGTAGGGCAGCCCATAATGTGCTAAAACTCATGCTAACATGCTAGACTTCATGACAGCTCCCTGTCAATCCTCATCTCATCTCAGGAAGCAATCAATTCTCCAGAAAGATGCATAGATCCTACAGCCATGTGTTTCAAGATAATTACACTTTACACTAACAAGGCTTTTTATCACTCTGCTGCCTCTTCTGCCCCAGTGGATCTGTGTTGTTTGGCAGGCAATACTTTGAGGAGTCCCTACCCTTTGAGGCTTTCATTTGAGGCAGGGCAAGGCAGAAGCAAAAAGCAACATCAGAAATTCACAGCAGAGAGCAAGGGTCAGAGGCTGTTTTCACCTTAATGAGGCCGCTGAAGGAGCGCGAGCGGGTGCGTCGTGGTGCTGGGGATGTGGGCACGTCAGAGCCAGGAGTCAGGGCTGTTGGATGCTTATTAAACTAGGAGGAAACACGAGGGCAGTACGTTAGCACAGTTACACCTGTCCCTTACTGCTGCGTGCTGCTCTACCTGCTGTCCCAGAACTCAGTTTCTCTCTTTCACCCCTGGAATGGAGGAGCAGCTCAGAACTGCAGGAGGAAAAAAGCAGAGGAAGGCCACACCTTCCACCCAGGATTAGAGAGAGTTTGGGTGCAAAGGTGCTTTGTGCTGGCTACCAGATTAACCAAAAGTGGCAGATGTTGGGAGCAGAAAGAGGGCTGGGCAGCAGCTGGGGGCTGGCAGCCACGACTGGTGCTGACCATATTGACCACCAGTCTGTCTGGTGCAGCAAGTTGTCTGAGACCAAGAGGAGACCAGTTTGTCCACTCTGCAGGCAACAGGGGAAGAAACTTTTCCTTTCCTGAGGGAGGAAGCTCAACAAGGCCATGATCAGGACTGGGAAACTGTTGGCTAGCAAGTCCTTAGCTTGAAAAACAGAGTTTAAAAGTGCTGCTTGGTACAGCAACATACAGGACACCTCCTCCTCCTCCTGTCTTTCTTACAGCTCTGCCCCTTACACAGCCCAGAACCCACTATCCCCAGCCTGCCCAGGATTAGGAGCAGCTCTCAAGAAGGCCCTGTCTTTAGCCCTGTGCCCAGGATTGTGCTGACAAGCACACCCCAAGATATCTTTCCTCCCCACACTACCTGCCGGATAAGCTTCTTCTTCTTTGCAGAGTCAGGCATATTGTGGACGTGGAGGAAGAGCTCCTTCAGTGCCTCCTCCGTGCGCTGCTGGGTCTCCTCCTGATGGCAAGAGTCCAGCCGGCTTCGCTTCTGAGACTTGAGGGGCTGCAGCTCCTTGGAGCCAGAAGACGTCAGCAAATCCAGGTCGTCCTGGGAAAGCGGAGACAGGAGTCGCTTGCCATGCTTTAATCCCAACGAGCCACCCATCTGAGCCAGCCTAGGAGTCTCGTGAGCTGCCTCAACCCCAGTGAAAGCACAGGACTGTGTTTTCCCTACCCCTCTGCAGCAGCACTGCATCAGCAGGCCCCGTGCCAGGAAGAGGTGACAGCAATACAAAGGTGACCCCATTGCTTCTTCCCTCCCCTCCCAGATGCGAGCTGCAGAAGCCCTTCCAGGCTTGAGAAGGGTCAGTGCAGCTCCTTGCCACGCATCTTCCCTCTTCTGCAGCTATGAGGCAGGGAAGCATTTGCTGACTGGCAAGACACAAATGTTGTCCCAGTGGCAGCGAGTAGTCTTTATCTCAGCACTTCTGCCAAGCATCCTGGCCATGGCAGCAGGCATGTCCGTCTGTTTGGAAGGCACAGCCCTGTGAAGGAGCAGGTGCTGCATGCACTGGGCACAGGGAGCAGGTTTGCTGCTAAACAGGGGCTCGTAGCTTTCTTTCCCTGTGCTTTTGATTAACAGATGCTTCAACTCTGTCCAATTTCCCTAATGCAGCCGCCTGCACTACCACACCATATGCTTCTCTTGCTCCTGCCCTCTGACAGATCCTCTTTCATGACTTGGTTTGTTTTCAGCTTCTGTCACTCACAGAGATCCCATCACAGCCTCTGCCCTTTCATGGAGGGCAGGTGCTGCACTTGCTGGCCTTACCTTTGATGTGTGGGCTCTGGATCCCAGATAGTGTAGCCTGGCACACTCCCGGATGTACACCGGAGCCTGTGATGATGAGCAGAGAACCAAAGGCATGTTTAACATCTTTGGTCTTGGGGCAACAGTGGCTCCAGCAAGAGTTGCTTTTCAGCCATACGACACAAGCCACTTGTATCAAGACTCAGCCATTCTGGGCAAACAAAGCCATGGAATTTCATGTCCCCTCCCTGTTCATAGCATCCTTTACATGCAGACATTCAGCACAAGTAGAACTCAGAGTAGGGAAAAGTTCCTGTGGAACCCTGCTCTAATTGCCCCAGTTCTGAGCTAGCTAAACTGGAGCCAGAAAAAGAAGGTAGAAGGGGAACTCTCCAGGGGAGGACTGTGCAGTGAGCAGATGCCTCCAGTAACCAGGAAGGCCCTGAGAAGTCGAGACTGTCTGTTGTAGAAATGCTTCCTTGGAGGAACAGTTGAAAGTCCCACACTCCTGATTGTCCTACCCAGCACCCTCCTCAGAGCTGGACAGTGCCTGTAACAGCAGTGGGCTAATGACCATTTGCAGAGAAACTCCCAACAAAACAACCCTGTGCATCAGGTATTCTGCTCTTGGCAGCACTCAGGCAGGACAAATCCCTTCCATTTCCTTATCCTGCCAGCACCCGAGTGCAGCCCGGTGTGCACCTGCCCTCGGAGCCAGGCTCCTGCCGGGCAGCAGGTGTTCTGTCCAGCAGAGGGGAGTGTTACACTGCACCGTGCTGCTGACCTGCCCTGGCAAAGCCACCTCCAGGGCTGCCTGCCCAGCAAAGACCTCCTCCCTAGTCACTATTGGAACACTTTCTTGTAGAAAATCTCCTCTAACCGCAGAAAAGAGCCCACAGAATATACACTCAACATGTGGGATCTGTCTGGACAAGGGGCATTCAGTCTCCTGGTGATGGAGGCAGGAGAGCAGGACGCCAAAGAACACTCACCTTGAAGAGTTTCTGAGAATGTTTGATCATGAAGGTCACTCCATTGTTTAGCTTTGTGATATTTTCCTGAAGGTCATTTGCTGTCACCTGGCAAGGGGACACAGCCATCCATTAGAAGGGGAGAAGGAGGGGTCTCTTCTGGGACACAGACACACACATTGCCACAGCAGGAGATCTGCTCTGAGATGACAGGCAGGCAGGGCTTATAGCAACCAACTGCAGAGCTCACAGAGCCAAAGCTGCTCTGAGAGGAGAATCAGATAACTCTGTGGCAAAACAGTTCACCAGCAGCATAAGAAACCTTGAAGAGAGATCTGCAAGGTTTTTCTGGAGCTGACATTCTAAGAAGAAGCATGACTGTGCTGTGCTTTCAATTTTACTGAAAAAGAAGATGCATAAGCTGCAAATGAGACCCATGGCAGGTCTGGGCTGAACACTGGGACTGAGTCCTGCCAGGAAGCTCCCACCTCTCCCTCACAGCCTCCAACTCTCACATCATTGTGTCAGTACTCAACCTTCTCAAACCTTTGTTTTTCCCCTGCCAAGCCTTTGTTTTTTACCTTCCAATATCCCACCCGACACTGAGGCATTGCTCACATTTCTGGGCCATAGGATGTGGGGTGCAAACATGAGGGCAAGGTTGTGGGCAGACATCTTGTTCTTGTCCTGCTTCTTGGCCGTCTGGTAGAGCAAGTCCAGCAGCAGTTTGAGCAGACTGCGGTTGGGAGCGGGAAGGATCAAAAACAGCAGCTGGAGGGCTTCAATTTGGCGCTCTTTGTCTGGAGTGCTGGTCTTATTCCCCTTCTCATCAAACAGCATCAAGTCTGCCAAATCACAAGGTAGAACATGAAGGACACATTACCTTCCCTCAGAGCAGTCTGTTGCAACTGCTTATCCTTTCCTCCTCATATGCAGATCTCCTACAAACCCCTGCACAGTTCTTGGCCCTCCATCCCTCTTCCCCTCAGCTCCCAAGCTCCCCACTTGATGTGTTAATCTATGCTACTCCTCCCACAGAACAACAGAGCTGCTAAGAGCTGTGATGGCTTGAGGCAAGATGAAGTTCACATAAGGTAGTTCAATAACAGTTATTAAATACATAGAATCCACAACTTGCTCAGAACACCGGACATAAAACAGATGGAGACCCAGGTTATCACTGTGGGCTTTACCACTGTGGTATCTGAGAGAAGAACGGTCTAGACAGACTTGGGCTGATTCATTAATCAGCTCCAGTCTTTCCACCACCAGGCTGAGGTGGCAGGAATATTCCTTCTAAGGCTGCCTTTGAGGAATACACTTCACAGCCCAGCGTGCTTTCTAGGCCAGTTCCAGTCCTTCTGCCCATCACTGCCTCTTGCTGCCCACTCACCTGCAATTTTGAGGTGGGCATGGAAGTGCTTGTGCGTCAGCAGCGGCTCCGGTAATTCACCCAGGAACATCTTAAGTAGAGTGGCCACATCGTTGGAATGAAACTCCCCAGAGTCCAGGTCAATATCAGTACCACTGTTCAGAGCATCCTTTAGGATCTGTTGCCTGATGCTGTTGCCTGGCACTCGAAACAAGCCTTCTGCTCTTAGATCTGCTCAGCAGAGGGGAGAAAAAAGGGCACTGAAAAATCAGAGGCTGATTTCCCACCTTCTTACTAAAGCAGTTCCCTCCTCTTTCCAGAGCTTGACAGGAAACCACAGTGAACTGTATTCAGAGACATGACTTTAAGCTGTCTCCCATCCGTACAGAAAGTCCTTGTACAGAGGGAAATAGATCCACATATCTGCTAGGCAATTCTGGGGAACAGTTGCCCAGTGCAGTCCCAAACTCCCACTGCTGGAGAGCTCAGAGCTTGTCACTCAGTATGCACCAGAGACCTGAGGTGGGCCAGACAGATACCTTTGGGATAGGAAGACAGCAAACAGAGCCACTTACTTTTGTGCAGATACTCGATCAGCTGGGAAACCTGTGCAATGCCTTCTTCTGTCAGTGGTGAGCCAAACACCACCCCCTTCTCTGCAGAACAGAAGACAACATGTTTAGGCACCTCAGAACCCAGCAGCCACAGAAATTAATGCTCCCCAGAGAACAGGATTTCAACATGCAGTGCCCCAAAACGTTAAGGGTGAAGGTCACAAGGACCCTCACAGATGTGAGATATACAAACACTCCAAAATAAGTCACTTCATCTCACCATGCTGTACTCACATGGGCTTCATCATCCTTGCTTCTTACCTCACTTTAATTACAGCTTTTATCAGCTAAAGCAAATATTCTCTAGCCCTTGAAGAAAAAACAACACCAGAACAGATGCTTCAGTGTAAAAGGGCACAGAATCTACAAGCCCAGACGTTATGAAAAGAGCAAAATGGGAAAGGCAGATGTAAGGGCCTGGACAGCCCTGGTGCTTGCCACACTGGCACACTCCAGACCATGAAAGAAAAGTCCAGATCAATCCTCACTGTGGCTTGACATGAAGTGGAGAAGAAAGAAGAGTTGCAGCTATGAGTTTATGGGAGAGGCAAATAAGCACTGCTGGGGAGAGCAGACATATTCTGACTGGCTCACACTAGCTTCCTTTTCAGGCATGGGTAAAACATGGAATTTCCTCATCCCAGTGAATCTTTCTTCTATGTCAGCTGCCCTGGTCTGAGTAAAGTATGAAAGCTGAGCAAGGCAGAAGGAGAGTAGCAAAGCAATAAGCTGGGCTCCTCTCTTGAAGTCTGTTCCCATCTCATGGGACTGAGATTGGGCATGAGCTGCAGCTCCAGAACTCCAGTAAATAACACAGGTTATAGTCCCAGAAGATGGAAGCAACTGAGATGAAAGGAAGGGGATTCCTGCAGGGAAGGAAACATTAGAGTAGAAATCCATTTAACTGAAGGGCATTTGTTGAACCAATGTAGAATACAATACTCTTCTTGTCCACGAAGCAACTTCCCAGGTGAGACTGATTATCAGTGGTAACAGAAGGACAGTGTTTTCTAATAAATGCAGCCTTGCTACTGAATGGATTTTTCTGTCAAACACACACAGTATGATCTGTTCCTCAGAAAGTGGAGACAACTCCCAGAGACTTCAGTGGCAGCAACCAGAACTCTGGGCACCACACTTCTTCCCTCAGATGCATATAGGTTTGGACTGGAGACAAGATACTGGAGAGACTGTACCACAACATGCTGACTGGGACTGAGAACTGGAACCAGGTACAGAGCTGGTTTGCCCTGCCCTGGTACTTAGGCTTCAAAGAGACAACAGATATAAGAAAAGAATATTCCTCCCTTCTCCATGGCCAGACTGCCAGGAACATGGGTCACTTCTGAGGGCAGGCTGGACATTTGCACCATTTGCTCTGGAGGTTTCCCTCCTTACTGCTACAGCTGATAGCCCAGTAATCCAAGCAATGCACTGGCTGGTCTGATAAAAGTTATCTCCTCCACAAGCTTTCTCTTGCTTTTTTCCCCCCCCTCATATCTCATTTTTATTTTACTTGCTTTTGGTCCCTGGTACTACAGATCTCACTGCTCTGTGGTGTTGATGCTCACAGCATGTGAGAGAGATCTGGTTAACCCTATGCACTTCTCTAGCAGCCATCCTGTGTAACTAAATTTATTCCGCCTGAAGAATGTTCTGTTTTCTTCCAGGACTTCTGAAATCCAAGGTAAGCCACCAGGAACTCCAGCCTCCTGTTAAATCAAGAACTTTCTGACCTCACTCTGACAAAGCACATGCTTCAGTCTTGCAAGAGAAAGGAGGGCAACGTGAGCTCTTGATCCACACGAAAGATCTGAAAGCTTTGAGTGCAAAGGGAGAGAATGATCAGCAAAAGATTCTTGTCCTTGAAGAAAACTAAACTCATTAGGCATTCAACAGATAGAATCAACAGTGGCCAGGAATAGAAGAGGAAAATACATCTTCTTGAGACATGCAGGGCCTGACAAATTCGATTTAGTTTTGAAGTCAGAAGCTGGTATCTGAATGAGAATTTGATTCTCAAAGAAACTTGAAAGACGTGTCTGGAGAATGGATGCTGCACTACAAAGGCTTAGATGTTATTGTACAATTGCTTCTGAAACTAAGCAGCAGCATGAGACTGACTTTCCTGATGCTCAAAGAAATTGTAAGTATTTGCAGTTTGATCGGCTCTGAGCTCCATGGTCCTTGGCCTCTGGCTTTGAAGAAATAAAACTTGTTTGTTGTAGCTGGTCTATAACATGAAGAAAAACAAATGATGGCTCCAAGAAGAAACACACAGTACATGAAACTGATTCTCTCTGTAGGCACAAACCTCTTTTTCTGAGAGTTTGGCCAAGGAGTTCACAGACAGTGCCTGTCAATGCTGGGAGACACTGCTGCTGCAGCCTGGGAGTGCAGCCAGCAGACTTGGAAACATCTGCTAGCTGTAGTGACACACAGCCATGGAGACCTGTGAATGGGGGAAAGCAGAGCTCTTGGGGAAGAGTTAGCAGGAGACATCAGGTCTGATAAGAGCAGTGCTCCCAACAGAGTACAGATAATTTAATAAAAAAAAAAATGAGCTGGAGAAGGCTCACCAGCCCCTGGTGGAAAGTTTTCACAAGAACATGGGGGTTTCCATACACATTAAGAAAACACTGGTGCTTGAATTTAAGGTGTCCTGCTACTCTCTGGGAAGAGGAGAAGCAATACCAGGCATGAGCACAGTCTAACTGCAGTTTAGGGGCAGCACAAAGACCTGTTATTATGGAGCAGCAAAGTCAGTCGTGGCAATATAAAATAATTCTCATCTAAGGATGCTAAAGGACTTGAAGTTTTTTATTTTCCTGAGGTGAGTATATGTACCAGGATTCTTGATGGGTCAGACAGAAGTGGAGGGCTGAAACTGCCACCAGAAAATTCTGCCTGATCAGTGGGGCTGCAGAGCTTGTCCTTATGAAACACAGTGGAGGAGTAGGCTTGGTATAATCAGAAACACTTAGAGAAATTATGTAATGGTTGAAGACAGAAAAAAGCTGTAGTCAAACTATGCCATAGCAATAGCTCCCTTCTCTGAGATACTCACAATAGCAGAACTGCTCAAAGGAAGGGGAAGACTAATCAGAAGTGCTCAACTTCAGACTGCCAACATCTGAAGGCAGCTCACAGCTTCTCTGCCAGCAGCCAGCCAGTCTAAGCTGGGAAACCAGAGCTGAGGAGGAATGTGAGGGGCCCAGATGGAGGCTGCTTCTCTCTAGATGAGTGAGAAGGTTTAACTGAACTTATCAGGAGAACCAGGCTTCCCTTGAGTGTGGGCAAAGGTGGGAGAAGACACACACACACCTAGAACACCCTTTTAGTTTCAAGAAAACAGTGGTAAATGCCAGCCATTGAAGAGGAAAGGATCTGAACACAACCACGCTCAAAAGAAGACTTCTGTGAAGGGCCTGGGGCTAATGTTTCACAACCAAGACAGCTGAACTTGAGAGAAGATAAGAATAGTCGGTTTAGCAGAAGAAAACTCTAGTGGAATGTGTGTCTAAGAGAGAAAGAGAAATATATCACCTCCCAGAGTTGAAACTAGGCTTCATCAGTCAGTCTGCAGAGCTTTGTCACTGACTCACTGGATTGGGATGCGGATCAGAGCAGCACTAGCATTTGGTTGGAAGATGCTTACAGATTTCTGAGCTGCACAGTGGGCAGCTGACCCACTGAAGCCAGCCTGACATACACCACAGCAATAATCCCAGAGCAAGGGAACTATTCTCAAAGTGCAGGCCATTTCCAAGATCAATTTTCTGGCCTGTTTTGCTCCTTTCTGGAAGTGGCATGGCCAGTGATTATGAAACCATAGTATTAAGCATTCCAGAAGTTCAAAACTACAGGCTGAAAGTTCTGTAAACTAAGTGTAACAAATGGTGACAGCATCACTCCAAAGGTGGGCACCAGACTTCATGCCATCCATACTCACCCTTGCGCTTCAGAGACATCAGAGAACGAAAAAATCCAGAGGCTGTGCTGTTTGCCCCAGGCAGCTTTGGGTCCTCCTCTCCCATTAGCTGGGCCAGCTCTGCCCCAGGCAAATCAATGAGCCTGGTAATGTTGCTGACAACCAGCTCCGTGAACACCTCTGGTTTTTCATGGCGCAGCTTTTCCACAAAGAAGTCGGGATTGAAGATGATCGGCTGGCTGCGGAGGGAGGAGTCATTGCAGATGACAAAATTGCAGATGGCATCACTGAAAAAAGGGAAAGAGGAAAAAAATACAGTAATTCCTCATCACTTTGGTTTTTACAGCCAGCTGGTCTGCCCTGAAGGAGACATCTGCTGACACAGGAGCTACCAGTCTACACCAACAGCACTGTCTGACTTTGGTGAGTGCTCAGCACAGCACAGTTACATTTCCCTATGGAGCAAAATAATTTCTGGACTGTTTGTACAACACAGCCTAAGACTAGCACTCCACAGAGTGATGATGACGTAGGCAACACCCAGTGAAAACTACATCTATGTCTTTACTCCTTGTTTCACTGTATCTATATCATACCAGCTCTGGCAGAGATGACATGCAATATTTTAATTAACTTATTACTTTAAGTCATAAATAAGTTTGTTTTTATCTCCCTTCCTCCCCAGAAATTCACTCCCAGTGGCCCAAAAGTCTGAAAAACAATCTAAATTTTTTCATGGCCAGCTTACAATCATCAGTTCCCATTGCCATTCTATCATACCTACCTTTCTATCAACAAATAGATCATTCCCACGTCCTGGGACTTTTTTTTTTAAGGTCACAAATGTGCAATAACACTGAATCCTCAGTTTTGCTGTGGGTGTGGTCAATTGTTCCCAGGTGACATGCTGCCAACCCTTTGGTTACTGCTCTCTGCCAGCTCCTCACTCTGAGTCTGGAGCAAGTGAGAACTCATTGTCATGAGCCATGCAAGATGAGTCCTTGAGGAGCCCCTACTACCTTTTCACCTAGATCATCCCTTTTCAGCTCATCCAGTTCTTTGTCATCCCTTCATGTCCTTAATCTGCCCTCCCTATTCTCTACTGACACCTACTTTCTTCATTTCATAGCTTCTCATGTGGCATGGGAAAAGGGATGCACCCAAGACACTGCTCTGCTAAGAGTTACCTCGAGCAGGTACATAACCCTACCAGAGGATAGGAACATCTACCATGTAGAAAATCAAATCAAAGAGTTACCAAAGAGATATCTCATGTTAATCAGCACTCTTAATGCTCATACTTAACTTTTATCCAAATTTCTATCTACCTCTAGGTCTTCCATTACCGTTCTCCCACCACTGTTCCAAACATTTTCATGTTTCTTAAGTCAAGCCTACAGGCCAGAGTTGCCCAGCTTGCTTCTCCCTCCACTGTTTTACTTAAAGGTGAGGATTAGTGTCATTATTCTCCAGTCACGAGCTACTGTTCTGATTTCATACTCAGCTATAAAGTGACAGGCTGGTTGTGCCAGTTCTTCCAGGACTCTGGGAGGTGGATGCCTACCCACTCAGCTGGCACATATTGTGTGTGTTCAGACTGTGACATTCCCCAATCCCTTAATCATTCTTTAGCTTTTATATCTACTCTTTCTACATCCACCCTCAGCTGAGCTCTCACTGGACACCATTTTCCAAGGGCAGCTGCCAAGTGCACAGTTAATAGGGATGCTGTGCTTATGGACCAGGGATCACATCAGTCCCTTAGAAGCAGATGCGGGGCAGCAAGTGCTCTGCTGAACACCCCTAAGTCCATAAAGGCTTTCCCTTCAAAACAGGCTTTTCTAGAGAAGACTGGAGCACCTTGACCTTCCTCTCCTCCCTGCTGAAGGGTGGAGGCCATGCCATTGTGTTCAGACCATGCTGGGCATCCCTGCTCACTGCTCAACACAGCTGCCACCAGAAGCATCTGCAGCCACTGAACCTCACATCCACTGGCTCAAGAAACAGAACACTTCAGTGCTAGTTCAGAGACCTCAGCAGCTTCCTGTTCTGATGTAAACTGACAGTGGCTCAGGACAGGAGAACATCAAAGCACATACTGGCAAGTCACCGAAACTCCAGCCCACCTCCACACATTATCTGTGAACCCAACAGTTATCTGAGCTACTGTACATTTTTGACCTGAAAGTCTACCTCCAGGACTTCCAGGATGCCTGATCAGAATAACAAAACAGAAGCTGGGACTCAGGCTCCACAAGAAGAAAGATACTTGCTGAAACAAGAGGAAATGAGGCTCTCAGCAACTCTTGCATCGTGAGAATCCATACCAAACCCCCTCCTCTTTACACTGCTCTCCAAGGATGCCAAAGACACCCTTCAAGAGGATGGAGAGGAAGAAGGTCTGCAAGGCAGACTGCAAGGCAATCTGCCAGGTCATCTAAAATTTTAGAAAGCTCTTAAAGGCTCCGAGCTGCCTGGCTCGGTGGCCTAGCAAGCACACTGCTGACTCCAAATGGGGGCCATATTTCGTTGAGCACCTCCCAGCCAGTTTTTCAGCAGTTTGTTATCTGCAATAAATCAAGACTAAAATGCAACAATTCGGTATCAGCTGCCAAAAAGCAACTGCCAGTTGATCTGATCATATTCGCATTTCATTGCATAGGGCTACAATGCACAAACAAGTGCCAGCTCTGCCCATAATGTGGAGCAAGCCCTTTGCTTGAAACCCATGACAACTCATTCTGTGGCAATGCAGATCCTGAGAAGGGTTAATAGCAAGTGTATAGGCCCAGTGACCCTGCCTGCAATGATCCGTGCACTGTTATTCACTCACTAGCAGTTTTGTTTCCCCACAGAGAAGATATGCAAATACTTTGAAGCAGTTACATCAAGCATCACAGATTATCTCTTCCCTCTGACAATTAGATATCTGGATTCACAGAAAGAAAATTAAACAATTTTGTCAACTAGCACTGACTGATATGACTTCTCTGCACAGCCTGTGTTAGAAGTCGCACAAAGTCCAACAACATTTAATGCAAAAATAAATAGAAAAAAGTAAATTTCTTACATGAGTGCTGAGAGCTTTTGAAGAGGCATTAGGAAGCAGAGACAGGGAAAAGAACTTGCTCCTTGTTTCCAGCAACAAAAGAAACCTGCCTGTCCCAGCACAGCCTATGCAAATTCCACGCATGCTACGAGACACAAGGGCGCATTATTGGGTCTGAAAGGCCCCCTTGGCACACACTGGGCATCAGCCTTCACACAGGGACAAAACAGAAAAGAAAAGCTGGACAAATTGATTCATGTCTCTTGCCAAAGGCTGCGTAGCTGGAGTTTAACTGCAAATAATTCCTACATAGAAACCAGGGTTTTGAATCAGGACCAGTGTGGTATTAAGTGCTTTCCACCTGTATCCAAGAGGAATCCACAAAATAGTTCCAAGTCTACCGTGTTTACCATGAGTAAAGCCATGCAAACACATTCCCAACAGCATCCAAGCACAACTGATGTTACAGCACTGGCAGGACAGTAGCCAAGTCCCTTAACTGCACAACCCTGTGCCCAGAAACCTTGCTGGAAACACTCTCTGCGCCTGCCTTTCACCCTTTCAGATCCTTTCAAAGACAAAGCACTTAGATCAGCCCCTCAGAGCTGGAAACAGCACCTGGCCATTGCTCCTTGCTACCATTACTGTGCCACCTTGTGCCATTCATCCACTTCAGGATTCCTGTTCCACGTTTCTCTGGATTCCCATCCAGTTTCTCTGTCTGCTGCAGCTGGGACCAGCCTTGTATACACTTATTGTGATATGGCACTTCAATGAGCTACTTAATTTTGAAAGGTCACTTTATTAGCAGCTCTTCCTTACACAGAAAATTTGCTTTTGTATCATTATTGCTAATCAAAATGGAAATGTGAAGCAAGCCCCTATTTCTGAGCAAAGATAAAGCCCCCACTGGCTTTACACACAATAACCCTGCCAATCCTCACTGCTGCACACACCATAACCTTCAGAAAGAGCCATGTGCCTCATCTGCTGTTTTCATGTTAAAAAAGAGAGATGGATGTACTCTACCTACACTCACAGTTTATATAACAGCAGCAAAGGGGAGACAAACATGTATTCATGCAGTTTATAGCTTTTTTTTTTTGCCTTGCTTGCAATTACAGAGTTATATTTTCTATATGCTGTGATCTCAGATTGCTTTACGACACGTCAAAAGACAATAAAGTAAAAGAATAAATAGCTTCCTCTCCAGTCTCATGAATATAATCAAATCCCAATGAATAATAAAACCTTGTTCTAATAGGGTTGTGATTAAGACAGCAGATTAAAAAAAATGGGTCCTATATTGTGCTGAGATTCTTGCCATTCTAGTATCCTTCAGAGGCAAAGCCTGTGATCCCAGCCAAGTCACAAAGAAAGCTGTCTGTCACACACAACGTTTTTGCTTCAGGCATGACAGCCCCATCATTTCATGGGGAGTGGATGGTGCAGGAGGTCAAAATCATGATGGATCAATTAATCCCTAAGGTAACTAGATCCAGGCCAGGGAAATGCCTTGGAAACTAGGACAAAAATGAGACTTTAACAGCCAAAACCTGGTGATCTAACCTGTGGTGCAATCAAGCAGATTACTTCACATGGCAGCAAGCTTGCATTTGGATAGGTGAGATGGAGCTGGAGTAGTGGCTTTCTCAGGTTTCATTGTTCTGAGTCCACACGTGACAGAAGAAAGGTTCAAGAAACATGAAACAGAGCATAAGGAGAAGAGAAGGCAAGAAAGAAAGAGAAGGAAGAGGTATGTTTGGGGCAAGGCATCAGCTGTGTTTGTCTAGCTGGGAAAGTGGATACGCTGAAAGCCGAAGATTTCAGAGGAGCCTTACGTGTCTAATTCAGTGGGCAAAATCCACCTCCAGTGCCATTTTGCACACTTGGTATGTCATCACCAAGGCCCTATGCTTCAGACACGCCACAGCAGACAAGTTGTACCATACAGGAGTAAAAGGATTAAAGAGCTTTTGAAAATAAGGCAGATAATAGGAGAAAATCTCCCTCTATAATAACAAAATCTTAAGATTATAGGAAAGAGCCAGGCTGGTACCAAATACTAAGAGCAGGGTGATAAGCAGGCAGTGCTGAAGAACACAAAACATGAACAATTCTCTGCCTGGCTAAGCACAAAGGGACATGGGACAGATGCACACAGGCTCAGATTTCCCCAGGGAGGAAGAAGTAGCATTGTCTCCTGTGTTGTGCCAGAGTAAGGAATCAATTAATGAGGATGTCTGAAGACAGTATTTCCAGAGCCAGATAGGAGCCATCCCAGATTTTGCAAAGAGATGAAAGAACCATAGTGGAATTATATGGAATCATTTTAAGAACAAAAGGACTAGAAGACAAGTTATTTTCTAGATTAAAAAGGAATAAAAAAATAAAAGTAGTCTAATGGGAATGGACTGCAGAGACATTAGAAGAGACTTCACAGTTAAAGTTGCTTTGAGGGCTGTACTTCAGACTGGCATTCTTGTAAGATGGTGTAACAAAGATCACATTCAGGCCTCACACTTGGCACCCTAACTCACAGGATGACTGATAAGCCTCTGAAAAATGTCAAGAAAAACACACAGTAATTTTTGCCCAGGGTTATACTCATAAGGTCTTCAGGGGCAGATTCCTTTTGTGATGAGTACACAGTGCACAGCACAGTGGGTGCCAATTCTTGCCTACTGTCTCTAGCCTTGACACAAGGAAGCCTTAAGAGATATCACTGTCTTTTTAATTTTTGCTTTGCTTTCTTCACATTTAAATAGCTTACACAGAGTGATACAGCCTTTTGACTATGAGAACCAGATAATAATATACAATTTAAACGACAAGGAGCTGGCTAAGAAAGCTGCTGTAATTTGATGGTGGCCTGTGCTCAGCAACCTGGAACTAATGCAACCCCTGGCTACCTTTTGGAAACCAGGTATATTGGTTATCCATGTCACTGCTATCATCTATGAATCCAAAATCTGTGTCAGTAAACAACTCAGAGTAGATCTTGCCATCAATGGCTACACATCTGTGACATGAACCTGGAGGAGATGGACCTATCTGAAAAGATAAAAGGGTTGGGAGGGGTGGGGGTCTGTGCTTTAGAAGAAAATGAAAATGCAATATATTACCAGCGTCAAAGAAAACAGCAGTAGCAAGACAGCTTGATATATGTGAAACATCAAGAAATTTGCATTTCAGCGTGAAATTTCTCAAGTTTGACCTGAGTGAATTCTTTGTGATATTTTTAATAATAGCCACTGGAATATTTTAAAGTCAATCAAGCAGTACTTCAATCAGCCATCACAACATCAGAGCATTCAGATGCCTTCTAGTGCTAGGAGGGAAAGAGCCGAGGGGTGCCCCAGAGAGAATGTTCACTGCGTTGCTCCTCATCAATTCTCCTTCCCAGTGCCACCACCCCAGGTCTGGGCGCTCCCACACTCTGTGATGGCTCAGCTGGCTACCCAAGACCCTGTAAAAATGCAGAAAGGCAGCTACCACCAGAAATACAGTAATTTTACATTAAAGATCTGCAAGCTCATATGTCTGCCTTAAGATCAGATTAACACAGTGCAACAGTGTTAAATAGGAATGCTGCTCTGATTCTCATGACTGTCAATGCATTTGTGTCTCTATTTTAATATAAACTCCTACTGGGATCAGCAACAGAAGAGCCTTAGATCCAATCCTGATTTCACTGAAACCAGCACCAAAACTGAATCTTTTTAGATGGCAGCAGCTGCCTCCTCTCGTTACTGATCTGCTCACTTTTATCACTGTGGCACTGGGAACCTCGGTCACAGCTGGGGACTCCGCTGTGCTCCGTGCTGTACAAACAGAACAAAGGCAATACCCTGTCTTTAGAGGGCTGATAGCTAAATCTGAAATGAATGCTGGAGGGACAGAAAAGAGAAGGAATCCCAAGAGAAGAGGCAGCACTATCAGTCAGCATGACTGATATAACTGAACTCTGCCAGCTTTTCTGTAGACACTATTAAAAAGGAGGGCGAGGAAGGACAGGAAAAATAATCAGGTCACACTGCAGATATTTAGAAGAAATCCAGCTTTTGCACAAGGGGTGACATGGGACTGAACATAAAGGAGCTGGTTTGAAAGCTACCAGGCAGGGACGGCTGGGACATGGGGCTAAGGAGGCAAGAGCTGAGCTCCACGCACTGGCTGGGAGCTGCCGGTGAGGCAGAGACAAGCCAGCAGTGCCACGCAGCTGGAGAGCTTGGCAGTGCCACAGGGCACTGTGTGGCACATCCAGACCCTCACTGCAGGGTGGGACACAGCCTGAGAAAGCCCCACAGCCATTTCCCACCAAACATGTCTGCTGTATCCCCAGTGTGCTGGTGGGTACTTTCCAGTTGCCAATAATTATAGCATTCCCTTGCTCTTTAAACTCTCTTTATTTCCCCATGTTGACTGTACTGGATGGAAGCCAGTAACAGGCAAGGCCCGGTCCTACCTATACCACCTTGGCCTCTAGCAATCCAAAATTGCTGCATGCACCTCTGATTGTCACCCTTGCTCTTGAAGGTGAGAGTCCACGGGCACCCTTCAGAGGCAGGATGAAATGGAGTTCAGAGAGCAGCAAAGACACACCATCTAGATGCTTCTCAGTCCAGTAGCTCCAAGCTAGTGCCCAGGTAAGAGCAGAACTACCATCTATAAACCCATAACAATCAGGTTTACTTATGGCACAAAAAAAATCAAGCAATTACACAAAAACAACACAGTAAAGTTAACAAGCTATTGTAGCAACCAGTCTGGGGACTCAGAGCAACCCACCAAGGCAGGACAGATGTTTTCCTCCAGCCTTCCCACAGGATGATACCCAAAATTGGTAGCACCAGCCGATGCCCAGAGCACATTTGGGAATCCCATGCCACCATCAGCTGGTAGACTGGTGCTTGAGCAAAGCAGCACGATTTGAGTACAGTGTGCTGCAACACTCACAGGTTGGCTTGACTGCAGTTGCTTTTTCTGCACTGAGAGGACACAGAGAGCTGGGTCAGGACTCACAGCCAGCTCCCCACAGGACTGTTGGTGAGGTTTTGTAGTCACAGCCTGGCAAACACAGAGGAC